CCTCATACTAGGCTTAAATTTTCTGGCTAGGAATTAAAGTACCAAAAGGAGGGGGGGGGACTTCTATCTCTTTGTGTTTGTGTTAGGGGTGTTAATGTGGTGGCCTAGACAGCTCTTACTAGTGAAACCTACAATCTCTTCATCTCAAAATGCCTCATACTAGGCTAAAATCTTCTTATCTATATTGCTAAAATGGGTCCTCTCCCAAGTCTGATACATAACATGTTAGGCAGCGGCTTCCCTCTTATTTCAGATCAGATTGAAAAGCGTCGTTGGACCGTAGGAGCTCATCACGACTTTCGTTTCAATAATCTGAATCGTTTAATGTATAAAATTCGTTGAATACTATATGTATATAAAATATCACGTTGATCGAATATCAATAGTTATGTAATTAAATCAGTTTTGTAAAAAAAATAGACAGTAAAAAAAAACGATTTACAGAAAACTGATCCGATGAGATAACTATTGATATTTGATCAATATAATTTTTTATAAACATATAATACTCGACAAATTCTACACATTAAATAATTTAAATTATTAAAATAAAACGCATGATAAACCTCTACAAAGTTAATAACACTCTCCAATTCGAATTGAGATGGGAGGAAAGCCAGACCCAACATATTAAAATACACGAAGATGGTTTTTGATTGTCCTTTCCAACTGTAACATCTCATCTGTACTAATGTATTTTTTTATTTTATTTTTTGGGGGGTGAGATCACTCTTGGGTCAGTCTGAGAAGACAGAAAGAAGCTGCTCACTAAAGGCATTGCTGCCTCTATTATTTCAGTTTCTGTCCCCAAAACTCATGTCATCATATCTCCAGGGAAAAATTATTTGGTGGTCGACATGTAATGCTTTAACTTGATATTTATTAGAGAGTAGTAAAATTTAATATGTTTTTATTAATTTTATAAAAGATAATTTGATAAGTTTTAAAGTGATAAATATCGTGGAGTAATGTTTACTATCAAATAATCACTCATTTTCTGGACATGTTTAATTAAGATTATTTTTTATGTGATTGAATAAAAATTGAATTATTGATAAGGTTATCGAAAATATATTATATCATAGGATTATGATTTGATAGATTATAATTATAAATATTATTATGAAGATAAGTTTTACTATATGATAAAAGATGGATTTAAAAATTTTATAGAGGGAGTGTGGATTAGGATATTATGTTTTGCTATTGGATGATTAAGGGAGGTTAAACAACACCTTAAGAGTTAGGATCAAGTAAAATCATATAATTATATTTTGCTATTGGATGATTAAGAGAGGTTAATCCTCGTATTTGAAGTACCTGCTACAGCCCACGATAGGAACTACTCATGGCTCACTTTTATGATTTTAATTATTTATTTTGTATAACCTATCAAGTAAATTATATTTACAAAAATCAACTTGATAGAATATCAATGGTCACGTGATTATAATATGTTTATCCTAAACTAAATGTAATTTTATTCTCAAAAATATATTGGCCGTTTACTTTTTTTCAAGATAATTTTTTTAATATCTTATAGCTGTTAATATGTAATTAAGTTAATTTTTTACATTAATAATCAACTCAACAAATCTTTTTTATAAAATAAACTGTTTGAATTACGAAAGTAAATCCAAAACTAGCCCACCAGTGGTCAAAGTTAATTGTACTGTCACAAACTCCCAATTTTCATAATATCATAATCTCTGTGATATTACTTAGGCCTCGTTTGGGAATAGGCTAATTTAGTAATTTTTTAACTATTTAGCTAAAAATATAGGTAAAAAAAACTTATATGTTTGGAATGACTTTTTGGCTAATTACGAAAAGATGTACAAAAAGTAGAGAGAAAAGAGAATCTTTGACTTTTTGGTATGAATTGTTGACTTTTTGACTAATTTAATAACTTTTTGACTAATTAACTAAAAAAATAAGTCCCCAAACGAAGTCTTAATCATTCATCTTCTCATTTAATAGTGTATACTCGTACTAAAGTTACCCGGAACGAAATGACATATTTGAAAGACGAAAAATATATGGGCGCCCAAACAAGCGTATTTTTAATTATATGATTTGGTAAAAAAATTTAAAATTTAAAAAATTTAAAATTACATAGTATGATTCACATCGCATTAAAATTTAAAATAAAAATTTTAAGGATAAATAACTGATATCTCGTGAAGTTTTTATTTAATATAGATTTCTTTTCACATTTAAAAAATTATACTTACCCGTTGCGAGATTAAAATGACATATTTATCTATTAACATTTATATATATAAAATAATAAAGTAATACAGATAATTTGCTCATGTCATTTCAAGGGACATAACAATCACCTTCCTTAGTTTAACTCACACAAAAAATTAAGTTTTTTTTATATTTCATGTTTTTTTATTTTTTAGATGCACCTAACTTAGATATACTTGAGAAGTATAATATTTTGTGATTTTTTTAAAATTCACCAAATACAAAAATTCAATACATTATCTTATTTGGTTGTTTTCAATGAATTTTTTTAAAGTATTGGTACAAATTTTATACTTTTTAAGTATATCTAGATTAAATTGATGTAAGATATAATGATGGAATTAAAAATGAAAAATTATATTCATATATAAAAATTTATACAAAAAATATCATAAAAATATTGTGATAATGATATTGTTGTAAATATAAATCATGTTTATAAGTGTTTTTTTTTTTAAAGTGAGATGTCACCATTAAGTTATATTATTGTGTTTTAAAAATCTATATAAAACTTATGTTTGTATATTATCACTCAATACGAATATGTTCAAGTAGAATTTAATGATAAAAAGTTATAGAATGTAATCATAATGATTAAAAGAATAAATGATAGGAAAAATGATAAAATAATTATTTAAAATTTTTTAAATATGACATCAACAATTCAGGGTGTAATATATAAAAAGATTACAAAGCTCATGAAGGGTAATATAATTTTTCAAATATGAGAAGAAATCTATATTAAATAGAAATCTAAAAAAAAAAAAATCAGTGTAATTTACCTAAAATATTTAAAATAGAAGATTTTGGGAAGTTTGTAAAAAGTTAACTTTTGATTTTTTACCAAGTTTTTTAGCTTTTTGGAAAATGATTTGGGAAGTTAGTAAAAAGTTAACTTTTTGCTTTTTAGTTTAATATTTGTTTATGGTGTCAAATCAAATTAAAATGACTAAAATACCCTTACCCAACATAAGAGATTTATTTTTTTATTTTTTTGTCCTAAGTCTTAATTTGTAATTTTACACTTTCATTTTTGACACTTCCCAAATCATTTTTATTACATTTTTAACACTTATATTTTTGGACATTTTATCCAAAAATGTGATTTTTTGCTATGTTTCCGAAACGGCACACAGATATATATTAATGAGGTTATCAAACTGATGGTAATGATGCAAGGTGGTCAAGTCTGTTCCCTTCTTCTCCTATGGATTCGAGTATACAGCTCCATACAAACTACTTTCTAAATGCTTATTACGGTGTCGGCACAATTTTACAAAAAGGGGTGTTTGGGAAGAAAGATTTTAGCTTCTTTTAGGTTAAAATTTATAAAAAGATAAAATATCATATTAAATTCATAATCATTTTTTTTTCTCATATATATCATATTCAACTACAAAAAAATCCAATCATCTTTTCAAATTTAAAAATTTTAGTATGTTAAAATAGTCAAAAACCAAAATAACCTATTTAAATAGTAACTTTCCAAACGCCCACAAAATTATAATTTTCTTATGTTACAACCATATGTTAAAATATAAAATACTTTATACAATAAAATTAATGTGAATATCAAATAAATTATATAACATACATAATAATTAAAAATAAAAATGAAAATTTGGTTGGTGAAATTGCAAGATTGTCAGGCGCATAGTCACATAGTTCAGGTCCAACAACTCTAAACTTCTTCGGAGTTACACCTTCATTAAAGATTAAAATTAAATTAAATTAAAAATAAAATAAAATAAAATAAACAACTTCTTAATCAATAAAATATAACTTCCCAATCTTAAAGTTGCCGATAAATTGTTGTAACAGCCCAACAATAAAACTTGTGGAAAAAAAAAAAAAAGAAGGAAAGAATGACACATTTAATGGTTTATAATTAAAATTATTGCTACATTTCAAAGTGAAACAGTCAAGTGAGAAAATTGTAACAAATATGTAATTAATGATCCATAATTAAATTATTTTACAATATGTAACTGAATAAAAATTAAAATTGTTAATAAAGGCTTTTGAAACTTTTAAAATATTGCAAATTACACTTTTCAAATCTACAATTTCATCCAAATTTTATTTTGGTTCCTATTATTTTAATTTAAACACTTTGGTCCAACTTCAATTTGGTCCTTATGTCTGAATTTTTGTTAATTTTAACCTCCAATTTAAATGGAATAATCAAATCAAAACAGAACTTAAAGTGTAAATTGTTCAATTTAAAATTGGGTAAATTACACTAACCTAGCTTGTAGAAAATACCCTCCCCTTTAATACGGTTAAAGAAACCAAAACTAATATAGATTGTATGAAATGATACACAATGTAAAAATGTGCATTTCAATGTAAAAGAGATAAAAAAAATATAATTATTTCATTTATACGATTAATAAATTTATAATAGAAAATTGGTCAAATGATACATGAATTAAAATCTTAAAGAAACTCAATATAATTATACTAAACTTGTGAGGTTGACTGCATTATTTTCAAATTTCAGGCGAGACAACCCTTTAAAATAATAAAAAAGATCAAAATAAAATTTGGGTAAAAGTACATAAATAAAATTTCGATAAAAAATAAAATTTGGATAAAAGTACATAAATAAAATTTCGATAAAAGTACATAAATTAGAAATGTAATTTATCTTTTAAAATAATTTCCAAACATATGGACCACCACATCATGATAACTAGGATAGACAAGGGGGTTGGTGGTGGTGGTGGTGGTGGTTAAGCATGTGTCTATCTAAATACTCATGCATGTGACGGGGTGTTGATTATAAGTAGCCTTCTCTCTTCATTCTCTTGAGCTCTGATCATCATCTCTAAAACGAACCCTCTTGTTTGGCTGCATGGATTCCAATTTCAAGGCAACAGTTTCGGAAGCACATCCAGACACAATGGATTTTCTTTCAAAGGCTTGGTGCAACTTTGCAGTTCAGACCTTCCAACCAGAGCTACAACTACAAGACCACCAATCGCTGGTTCTCCATGATAATCCAATCATCAACTTCCACAGTGACACCAAATCTCCTTTTCCTGTGAGCTTAATCTCTTTCTTCCTGCTTCATACATTCTATACGTATTTGTAATATTATACATTAAAATATAGAAAAATGCTTGAAAACTTTAATTAAGATTCTCAATCCACTCTTAATGATGTAGAATAGACCCACACTCCTCACTCTTCATTCCCGAGTAGTGTTATATCCCTTAATATGTCAACCTTATTTTGATTTCTAATGAGATGGAACAAAGTGACAATCGAGAGAGACGGAGAGAGATAAGATGCGGAGTGAGGAGTGGGGTCCACTCCACACTATTAAGGGGTGGATTAGCGGTGAAAAATGAGTGGGAACACTAATTAGTGTCATCACTGATGATGTGACAGTGAGTCCCACCCACTGTTACACTATTGTTGTGTTAATTTTTTATTTTTTATTTTTTTTTAAAAAAAAGTGGATGCCACATCATTAGTTGTTGCTTTAAAGCACCACTTTTAGTGGTCTCTAACATTGCCCGATTAGCGGTGCTCAATTAGAGCTCTTAAGTATTTTTCTCTTATCCTCTCTTTATTCCTCTCTATTATCTCTTTTCCACCTCATTAGAGGTCAAAATGAAGGTGATGTATTAGGAATGTAGCACCACTCTTTTAAATATATATATATATATATATAATAAAGTGCTCATAATTTCAATTAATGAAATTTAAGGGTTAATTACAATTTTCACCATCGAACTTTCATTCAAATTTTACTTGAATCCTTATAGTTTCAATATGAACAATTTGATCCATAAACTTAAGTATAGTTCCAATTTGATCTTTTTCGTCTAAATTTTTGTTAAAAAATTAATAAACATCCCAAAATTGTTAATTTTAATTTTCAATTTAGACAGAAGGATAAAATTGAAACTATATTTAAAGTGTAGAGACCAAATTATTCAATTTGAAACAATAAGAATTAAAGTAAATTTTGGATCAAACTATAGAAGTAAAAAATATAATTAATCCCAAATTTAAATTTAGTAGGGTGTGAGTGACACTTTTAGAATGAATTTGATCAACACATTTTAAATTCGGAATATTTTTTTGTGTTTTTTTATAAGTAGATACTACATGACTAATTATACAAGTAACTAAAAATCCAAAAACCTATCTTTCTAGTTTATAATTATAAAAATATTACTATCACATAAATCTGCATTGGTTTTCTCTATAAAACTTTTGTATGTTAAATAATTGAAGAATTTTTTTATATTGCACAAGATGGAGAAAGGTGTAAACATAGAAGATGCAGATAGGTCCATGCCACCATGGAAATCCAATGATGTGAAGGTAAAGTGCACTAATTGATGATATAATTTAGCTCACAAAAATCTAAAAACAAAAATTAAAAGTTGTATTGTTTGATTATTTCTTCTTTCAGTCATGGATATGGATGCAACAAGCCATGCACCCAGAATTGAACTACAAAATGTGTTTCCGAAAGAAATGGGTATGTCAATCTACAACTATTTCATTTCTTATTAACATTCCATTTGTTTTATTTAAAATTTTATTTTATTTTATTTTATTTTTCAACGTTTGAGATAATAAAAAAGAGTAATGCTAGAGATTTCAAATGTTTTACCAAAGTTCTACCAAATATCTGGGACTTACATGAATCCTACACTCTTGAAAAATATTTGGTAAAACATTTGGGGTCTAAGTATTTTTCAATAAAAAAATGAAAATTTTCATGGTCAATACAAAATGAGTTTATCGAGAAAGAAAAATATTTTTTACTTTTAAAATTAGAAAATACTTCCTGATTTAGAATGTTATTAACACCATCACTGTCGACACTACCAACGCCCTACCACCACCTCTATCACCATCTCCACAACTCTGCAATCACCATCACCACAACCACCCCTCTCCACTGTCGTTACTACACCTGACCACTATCACATCAATTTCAGAGTTACAAAGAAATGTTTTTAGCTTAAAATGTTTTCGACAAAAAATTGCATTCTTCAAAAGTTATTTTTGCCAAAAAAACAGAGATTTAGTTTTCTAAGCCATATATATATAGTATCTTGAGATGATATAATATGTTTGAAATGCAGTTTTCATGGAAGATAGCTCCATCAATCAAGAAATGGTTGAAAGAGATTAAGCAGAAGAGGAAAGAAGATCAGAGGCTGCAAAGAGCTGAAGTTCATGCAGCAATATCAGTGGCAGGTGTTGCTGCAGCCCTAGCTGCCATAGCAGCCGAGAACAGGAAACACGATGCTTCGAGCACCACCAAGGACTCTGCGGTGGCTTCTGCAGCTGCTCTGGTGGCCGCCCAGTGTGCCCAAGTCGCGGAGGCGATGGGGGCCAAGAGAGAGCAGATTAGCACTGTAATAAGTTCAGCCATGAGTGGCACAAGTGCTAGTGATATCTTAACACTCACAGCTGCAGCTACTACATGTAGGTGTTAGTAATGTTTACAGTTTTTTTTATTTTTTATTTACAGAAAATATTAAATAAATTTACATTTATTTTTAACAAAAAATAAAAATATATTTTTCAAAGGAGGTCAATAATCGGAGATGGTGGCCAGAGGAGATAGTGGCAAAAGGTTGCTATTTGTCGAATATGGTGCCTAGCCGACTGAGGTTGTTGTCGGAAGAAATTACTGGTGGTAGTGGCCAAAGGAGTGAAGAGTGGTTGGTGGTCGCTGGAGGGGTTGGAAGGAGAAAGGAATGATATTTTTTCTCGAAAACAAATAAAATCATTTTTTGTGGTTAAAGAAAAATTTATACAAAACCAGTTTTTATTCACAATTTCTATAAATATAAAAAATATATATATAAATATAAATATTACAAAACAAATTATCAAAAAAATTTTAATTTTTTTAAATATGTCTTTGGGGTATGCAATGACCTTTTTTTTCTATAGCAATACTCAAACTTGGTGGGATTATAATTGGGTTGATGGCCCAATTATAATCAACACTCGACTATCTCATGATTTTTTACTTTGTTTTCTTTTTTCTTTTCTTTTCTTTTTGATGGTGACTATCTCATGATATCATTAAACTGATCAAATGATCAAAATATTCCAATTTGTGAATCATGATGACAAAACTATATTAGTTTATTAGCTAATCTCCACTTGGGCTTGAGGTTTGGGTAAAGGAAATGGCCCAATTCAAAATAGGCCATCATGTAGAGTGCTAGGCTTATTTGTTTGTTTGTTTTTTTTTTTTTTTGATTTGATGGGTTAGGCTTATTTGGTTGGGTGTGATATTATTGGGATAAACATATCCTAAACTTAGATCAATAGCATATCTCCTTATATTAACTCATACATTTTTTTTATTTTTTATTTTTATTAAGATGGGGATATTGACCCATACATTCAATTCAAAAAACAAAAAATCACTATGGTCCATGGGGGTTCAGCCACAGAAAATGAAGATATTTAAAATATAATGGGTTTTAAATAGGGGAATTATGATATTTGTAATTAAAAGACCTCATTTTATTCTTTCAGCTTTTGTGACTTGCTAATTTCACTTCTTGTTTTAATTTTTTTTATAGCACTAAGAGGAGCTACTACACTCAAAGCAAGATCAGGTTGCAAAAACAAATTAAATGGAAGCACACCGGTGCTACCAATCGAGGAGAACAATGATTTTGAATTTGATCTTGAAAAGTGCAAATCAATTCTTGCCAAGGGTTCCGAGCTCAATATAGAGACATCAGACGGTATGTTAACTTAATTATTGTCATTATTAATAATAATTAAGTAGCTCAAGTTATAATTAATTGCATTGGGAATGCCTCACAAGGTTGTATGTTTGAGAAATGTTTGTTTTGAGAAATTCGATTAAAGCTTTTTTTTATTATTATGATTTTCATACATGCTTTGTTTATTTATTTATTTATTTATTCTTTTCCACCATTTGGAAACAGGAAGGTGCATGGTAAGATCAGTGTCTATCGTCTTAACCACTGAAGGCAAGGTCTGAAGAGTATACTCTTTTCTCTTTTCTTTTTTTCTTATTCAAATAATTGTTAGGAACTTCGCTAAAAGTCAAATTTTTACTTTTGACTTATTTTCAGTAACATTATCTCACTATTTTTTTATACATTTAAAAAAAAAAAACTAAACAAAATCAAAAAAGTCAATTTTTGACTAACTTCTAAAAACAAGTCATTATATAATATAATGACTCTAATTTGCAACTATATTGTGGTGTGCATATGTAAGGTGATACAAAAGCTATGTGAATGAATCAAACAAAACAAAACAAAAACAAAAAACAAAACAAATGACAATTGAAAGAACTCATGCAAATGAGGAGATCAAAGCTCTTAAATTATTTCAAAAGAGCAACAAATTTTTTTTATTTGGGCCATTTAGCCTCTTAGTTTATTTGTACCCTAAACCCAACCTCTCCAATTCTTACTTTTCATTTACAGGTTGTTATCAAAATAAGGAAGCTCAATTTACTGAATGCCTTTGCAAGCAAGAAGGAAAGTAAGTTTTTTCTTGAATTTTTTTCCTTCTTCAAATACCCTCTGTCGCAATATACTCTCAATTATATGACGTAAGAATTTCGATATACAAAATTCTACATGATTGTACAGCTGAAAATACATTGGGATAAAAGAAAATAAACATTTAAGCACATATCATCATGCTTCCTTTTTAGTCCTTTATTTGTTGTATGCTTCAAGTGATTAAGATTTTAGTGGAGGGAAGAGAAAGAAATTCTCTCTCTCTCTCTCTCTCTCATTAATTTTGAGTTTTGTTTAGGTATTGTATTGGATCTACATGCTGAATTGTACAAAGATTCATCAGAAGGAGATGAAAGTGATCAAACATGTTATCTCATAGTTCTAACAACAAATGGAGGGATGATCAAGCTTGATATGATGGATGATTATCAACGTTACAAGATGTGGGCTCTCACCATTAATCATATGCTAATGCAATCTACTTCATTTACAAAATATGAGCTTCAATTTCACAAGAATTAAATAAATAAGAGTCAACTCTCTACTTTTGTGTTTTATCACTACTATATTTGTATTTTTAATCATGTAATTATGATGATTATATTCATAATCGTGTTTAAAACCATTTACTTCATGTGTCTACGCATCATATTTTTTCTTTAAATCATGTAATTAATTATGATAATTATATTTATAATTGTGTTTGAATACATTGATGCTTAATTTTACATGCGAATTGAACATGCATATGAGAAAATCTCATGCAAGTGCAAAACAGTCAAGTATAATCAATGCGTGTCATTTGCAGGTAATTGCGTATATATGAAGTTTCTATGGCCTTGTAGAGGATGACAAGGTGGTTTCTGTGTATGGCTTATGCAGTAACGATAATTTAAATAAGTTAAAAAAACTAATTATTTTGAAATTAACCAAGGGATTCTTTGTAAATGCTACTTAGACTATCAATTTCAACTTAGAATTCAGTCGAGGCCAATGGGTTGGGCTGGTGAATGAGGTGCTCCTTTACCAAGTACAATAAATATTAGGGAGCAGCTTGTCTCCCGCCCTTAATCGGACTGGACGGTGCTGTTCGGCCTATGTAAAACTCATCAAGTACTATATGTCTGTAAAAAATCACGTTGATCAAATATCGATATTTATGTGATCAAATAAGTTTTGTATAAAAAAAAAAATAGACAATGAACAAATTAACGGTTGACAAAAAACTAATAAGATGAGATAGCTATCGATATCCGATCAACGTGATTTTTTACAGGCATATAGTATTCAACGAGTTTTACATATTAAACGGTTCGGATTATCAAAACGAGACCTGTGTTGGGTACCCACAGGCCGAACAGTACCATCCAGTCCGATTAAGGACCAGAGGCAAGCTGCCCCCTAAATATTATTACCGCAAATGCAACTTCCTTTTCACTATTCCCCTCCTATCAATTATAAAAATAAAAATAATATAACATAAATTGCAGCAAACAGGAGATGGACCCATTATTACGGCACCAAACATTGATTTTTTGGCAGCCTTGACAATAATTCTCACTTTTGCTAACTACTCGTAAAGAATGAGCGACTGTAAAAAAAAAATTCATTTTCACCTCTATATTTTCTTTTCCTTTATTCCTAGTTTCCAAGTTCCCAATAGAACCTGAAAATTTTATAAGAGACAAAAACATTGTCCAATTCACTGGAAATGCAAAAATCAAGCCAATGTATGCTATGTACATACAGACCTTTAGAAGATGCTCGCAGGGTGTTTAATGAATGAAGATGATCGTTGAAAAACAAGTGAAATTAAGTTCCAAGAAGTATAGCATCCATTAAATGAATAATACATATATAAGATTAGTTTTTTTCAACAAAAACAAAAGGAATATTTCATATGTTTCTATAACAAGATACTACAATATTGATAAGAACTCAAAAGATTGTCACTTACTAAGCAAGAATAAATTACTAAAGGGAAAAAAAGTTCACTCTTCTGTCAGTAGAATTCAGTAAAATCAAGTAAATGTTGAAGCATTCAAACAAGAAGATCTCTCAAAACTTCATTGATTTCCACATTATGACATTGATGAAAAGGTAGGTGGAAAGCAAAAAAAAACGACTAAAACATCCAAAAGAAAGAAAACATGTTTTTCAATGTGTATCAAATGGATCAGGTGATGAAGACTGGATTCGTATGCATTATAAGGTGAAACTTACTGGCCTTTGAAAGCATATACAACAACAGATGCTTGAAGATCTCGGTCAACCTTGAAGTGAGCATGAAAAAACCTTCTTTTCTGAAAATCACAACCCAGACTGGATTACAAAACGACAGACAATACTAGGTTGTTGGCACTGGAATTTACAAAAAACAAACATACAATGCACCTCTTGGAAAGAATGAGATTTTAGAAAGTCCTTGAGTAGTTTTTCCTGTGAATCAAATAGAACGATATGACTTGGTAAAGACCAATTTTTTGCAAATTCGGATGCAAAACCAACAGGATCCATCATGAAACGGTCCGACTCATCTAGGACTCCTTTCTCTTCACTGTTAAACAAAACACCAAAACCAAACTTGAACTTGTAAGCCACACATCTCCACACAAAAGCACAAAGAAGAAAATTTTCCTCAATACATTCCCATTTCCCTACCTCGGTGAACAGTCTAAGAAACGCATGGGAAGGTTGCGATGAAGAGTAGAGTAATAAGGTGTGGCATGGCAAGGCGTCAGGAAAAGGATACTCTCCACTTTTTCATTACGAGCCTCTTTGGAGAGATAGTTCATGACATCTTCAGTTCCTCTCTGTTCAGCACAGTTACAGGTAATCAACCAAAAGAAAACCAGAAAGAAAAATCAGTTGACCAAATACCACTTTGAAAAAATCTCTCTTACTGCAAGCTTGTATTCTTCAATATTTATGGCATTGAAAGAAAAAATAATAATGAATAAATAACTTGAGGAGCAACTGCATCTTTCACAAGAGAAAAAAAGGGTTCACAATCAAAGCAATATCTGGCATTTAAGCTAACCCCAAGGGGTTGGCTAAATAGGAAAGACTAGAGGATAAGATCCAATGTCTCAAGTTCGAGTCACCCCAAGGGGTCACTGGAGGTTTGCCCAGTTGATAACTTCACGGCCCCAGGATTAGTCGAGGTGCACGCAAGCTATCCCGAACACCCGATTATCAATATATATTATATATATGGCATTTGAGCTGTCCAATTGAAGAATGCAAAGCAGAATACAGCCAGCATATGTTTATTAAAGAAACTAATGTACCTGATGAACCAAACTCATATATAATGCCATTGGAAGATTGGTAGCAAACAGGAAAATGATCACCCAATGCTTTTTCGAGGGGCATTTTGTATGAATGCTTGGAGATCCTTTCCTTCTATTGTGTGGTGAATCTGACCTTCCGATTGTTGCTAACGAATACCCAGAGAACATCAGAGCTATTGGAAGCACAGGAAGTACAAACCTGTTACTCAGAGTCTGATTAGAGGACGAATGTGTAACATCCGTAATGAAAACAGTATTTTCCTCTGAGAGAGAGAGAGAGAGAGAGAGAGAGAGTATTCTCAACAAAAGAACCACAACTTTAAATTTAGGAGGTACCTGAATTCTTTGTGACCTAGTACACTGTAAAGCCCTAAAACCCATGCAATAAGCCCAGACAGCTTCCATTGTTTAGACAGGATAATGCCAGCTATGGAAAATGGTAGGAAAGTAAAAAGCATAACAGAAAATCCCTGAGTGAAGTACCAGTGCCATTTGTGAGTTCCATAGTAGTCTCCACCAGAGGAAAGAAAATTGAACTTCAAAAAATTAAGAGGCACTAGGACCCACGAGCCGTACATCAAACGATCCAGTGACCATGCAAGCGTCAGCACCAGTACCCTGATTCCATGAGACAACACATAAGGGACAATACTATGAACATCCACAAGAACAAAATAAAAAACTGAATTCAAAGGAGGTTTCCAGGATTCTAGAGTAAATTTTGAATGAATAAATAAATAAAAATTTACATATATATTTTTTTCCATATGTAATGGTAGTAAAAAAATTTACTTGTTTTACAAATACAGATGGACATCTATAGCATCTTTCAAAAAGCTTTAAAACCTACTAATCCAAACAGTAGGTGGTAAACACTAAATGCTTTGGTCCCCCTAAAACCTAGGGCTCCAAAATCCTACCAAAAGAGAGGGGGGGGGGGGGGGGGGGGGGGGGGGAGGGAATTGCATCTAATGCACAATGATCCCACTTAAAACAAGGTTTGGGGATGATAGGCAGCCTTACCCTACTTTTTTTATGGTGAGGATAATTCTCATGACTCAAACCATTGCCACAGCGCTTGGGTGGATGAGCACTTGCCATCACACCAGATCACGACCTCTCCTACCAAGTTTGTGTTTGTTGCAAGTCCCCCACTTGCTACAAACACACACTTGCACAGACACACATTGAGATATAGAGACAAGAACAAACTATGTTGCGAACATAGGTACATGACCTTTTTTTCAATTTGATAAGTGGATGATAGGCAAGAGAACTTGTATGATTAAGATTGATTCTAAGAGAAACAATAAGGATGAATACCTACCCAACAGGGACCACCTCAAGAAAAATGAACTTTAGTCTATCACGTGCCACGAGCAACTCCAAAAGGCCAACGTAAGCCCATGTAATGGCACTTGTTGGTCGAATAGCACATGCTAATGCTGCTACAACCAATCCCCACTTTCTTGAAACCATGGGAACTTCACTAGAAGAAGCTCTTATACAGGGCCAATAGTAAAGGCCCACAAGTGTAAGAACAGTCTCCAAACTATTTGATAAAGTACGAGTGAAACAGAAAAACATAAACCAGTTTGTCAACTGTGAAAAGAGCTGCAGCAGAATTAAGTACATCAACCATCACAAATGATATCTATAATATTTCTGCTCTTATTTGTAAAAATAAAGGATGCTGATGACAGCTTCAGTGTTAAAAAAAAAGTGGGACATAAATATGCAAGAACTTCAACTGTAAAGAACACAAAATGGAAGGATACTGCCCATTGTGCAACATGGCCACCAAATAGGACATGAGAGAGTTTGTATACGTAAAGATCACCAACTGCAGCAAACAGGGACTGCAACAGCCGTGGAGCTTTAATCTATGAAAGATGGAAATAGTTGTTACACCAGAAACTATAGGTGGTTAAAAATAAAAGCACCAACACCACAAATTTTTGCACCCACCATTACAATCATTCAAGGATCAAATGTAAGAGTAAAGTAGCCAAGGTGATCACAAAACAATAGTATGCAAAGTGGAAACATAAATCAGAATAGCTCTAGTTCCTGCAACATGATTCTTGTTCCAATTTTATAAAACTCATTATCACCAAAGACTTTGTGTGTTGACCTGAGTTCTTCCAGTTGGTAGCCTGAGCTTTTACACTAACCTTGCTAACATCACTTTCCTAAAAGGACAGAGGGGGCAAAAGTTCTCTGCTGACATTAATAAGTATCTCTGTCGATTTGTCTCCAAATGAGTCACAACTCCCAATCCCCCAACAACACAGAATCGGCATTTATTTGGAGTTATGCAGACAAAGGTTTAACCATCCAAATTTGGCATGAAAACTAAATATTTTCAAAGTCTAGATTCTTTGGTTGTCCAATTTTGTTTCACAAGGTCATTTGTTAAAAAGTTTACTCTATAATGTAAAAGAATTGCTTTCATATTTATGACAAATGGATTTGTGTTGATGTTACTTTCCTTCAACTAATTGACCTTCTAACATGGTTCAGCACTTAATAATCTACTATATCTTGAACAGTGTCAGATCAACTGAAATGTAACAGTTCAGTTACAGCAATTTCAAGAGGTTAGAGGGCAGGATTTAAATTCAGCATAAGAAAAAGTCTTAATACTGCAAATGTTACCTCAAGCCTCATGATTGACATAAAGCCAACTTTCATCAAACAGAAAATTCTTGAAAGGGATCGGTATCTTGATTCAAAGTAAAATGTCTGATTTTACTTATCATGATGTAACAACACATATAAGCAAGTTAACTACATTTATTTCCTCATCTATACGTCCCCTTATAATAATGTAAACCAAATTGAAGGGAAAATTACTCTCTGTCCCCTATGTTTAGGCCTAGTTCTGCAGACACCTACTCAAACTTCGGTTTTGACACTAATACCCCCTTGGGTAAAATGCAAATTTGAAACTCTTTGAAGAACACACGCTGTATTTTGAATTTTAACTTAGTAGTAAATACTTTTTCATCAATTGAAGGGTTCAAACTTCAAAATGACTATAACACCATAAAGTTCTAAACTATTTTCTTCCCTTTCTTCACACAGGCTGTCTTCCCTCATCAAACCACCTTTATAACACCATAAAATTCTAAACTATTTTCTTCCCTTTCTTCACACAGGTTGTCTTCCCTCATCAAACCACCTTTATAACACCATAAAATTCTAAACTATTTTCTTCCCTTTCTTCACACGGGCTGTCTTCCCTCATCAAACCACCTTTATAACACCATAAAATTCTAAACTATTTTCTTCCCTTTATTCACACAGACTGTCTTCCCTCATCAAACCACCACCCACCACCTTCTCACTTTCCCTCTCTACCATTTTCTTATTTTCTCTTCTACAGTTCCACCCAAACACACTACCACCTTCTTACTTTCTCTACCAAAAACCCATCACACCACCCACCACCTTTTCACTATCTCTCTACTCCAACTTAGCAATGTATCATCACTAACTACTTACCGCACTTCCTATCTCCAACACCCACTGCATTCAATTTATCTCTAATAAAACCCACTATCACCCTCTTTACACCCTCTTTCTTTCTCTCTACGCTAACCCTTCACCACCTTCCACCACACTCATTTTCTCTCTCTACCAAACAGCGATTACCACCATCTCTCCTCTACAATACTGATTTTTCTCTCTAACAAAAATCCCAGCCACCACTTGGCTTCCAACTCACCACCAGTATCACTACTTCTCCAACTCCATGAAGCACAATTATCTCACTATCCTCTCCCTATATATATATATTGATGGATTTGGAATCCAAATAACAAAAAATGAAAAAAGAAAATGTGTGCTTAGACATTTTAACTCAACTGCAAACCCCATTCATAATTACGCTTTACGTTAAACCATAGGGGATATTGGTATCAAAATCAAAGTTTGAGCAGGTGTCTACTGAACCAAGCTTAAGCATAGAACAAAAAGAAACTCTAGTTGTCTCCCTGTCTCTTGCAATGTCTACAACAAAATTCATCATGAGAAAACATAATGCATTGAGTCCATAAATCCAATGCAATACATAAGCAAACAATAATATCACTATTCTGTACATAAATATTATTAACTTTTCCAAAATTTCATTGGAATGCAATGATAACACATGCACATACATATATACACATTAAACTAATTCATATTCCTTTGCAAGCCAATGTTCCATTAAAATCCAATCAAAACTATCATTTAGAGAGCTTGCACCCACTTACCATGAACAATGGGGTATCAAGATGAAATAAGGCAAGAATTCTGTAAAGGAAAGCAAACACCATTGCGTGCAAATAGCTACGAATCCCTTTTTTCCATTCCCATGTCAAATGTCCATATCTGTCATTTGATCAACCAAAGTACACACCATTGGCAACTTAGTAACAGAATAACCTAAAGTAACAAAACATATAGTAAAAAAAAGGTTTGAACTTATCATACCCAAATGTAATACGATGTGCAACTTCTAGGGCTTGCCAATGTTCATCTGGGTTAAAGTATGTTTGCACAAGTAAAGAATTTGCCATACGCAGAGCCAAACAAGTCACAAAAATTCGCCTTGATGAAAAAGTTAGACTAGAGCTTGAGGTTGTCGATTTATCTCGTTCGAAAGCATTAGGATTTTCAAGCCTATCTTTGTCATCCACAATATGAGCACTCTTTCTCTGTCTCATGCTTTACTGCAATACAATGAACCAATAAAGAAGTAAATTATCTGTTATGAGGAAATCCGAGTATCAGCATTTAGGTATGGAAAATCAGACAAATGGCATGATGTATATGTTCACATATATGTGACTCTGTGCACAGCAAAATGCTTGTTTGAGTTGAAGTGTCAAACCAAAACATGGGCCAAACAGATTCAACAGTTTTTGATACTTAACTCCCCATAAGTACTTTCCACCATCAGCCACATCAATTCAAGTTAAAAGAAGGAACTTCGACATTTCAAAGTGAAACCCATCATCATAACACCAACAACAACATACACAGGTAAAGCGACATGGACTTTAAGAGGGGCAATTTCCCCCTCTCCAGAATCAAGATTATAAAGATAACAATTTTACCTATAGTTTTAACAAAGTCTTTCATTATATATACCTCTTAAATCATTTATAGCCCAATTTTTCTTTTATTTTTTCAAACAAAATCCCAACAATTTGCCCACTTAAATGTTTAGTTTTATGAAAGATCCCCATTACAAGTATACTTGAGAGTCTTTTATATTTATTTGGTAAAATTTATAAGTTTAGTTTCAGCCGTCAATTCATGGATGGGATTGCATTTTGGATTTCAAGTTGTTTTTTGTCTACTTTTGAATAATGTGAGTATTTTGTTTGTTATTTCTCAGAGGACTTTCTTCAAACAACTGGAAGACACTATCATTTGGGGACTCCATTGAAAACTGTCCAACCAATGAAGAACACTTGTGATCTACACCAACAAGTATGCATATACAAAACAAAATCACAAGAAATTTGAACATAAAGTTAAAAGATTACCAGATTCGAAAAGGGTCTGTTATGTAAAGTCACCTGAACTGAACTTGTTTGAGATGAAGAAGCAGAATGAATGTGAGGTTTCCGGCTAGGATTTTCCGCTTATTCTCGCCGGCGACGAAGGATCTGCTGAGGACTTCTTTCTGCTCATCACGTTAGTTTCGCCTCTGATTTTCATGATTTTTTTTTTTTAAGTTGATGATGAGAAAGTAGGAGGAATTCAATCTACCTTATTTTTTTCTTAATTTTCTCTGTTGTAGTGGAATGTCACTGCAATCTAAGGCTGTGGTCTTTTTAGTTGTTTTATTTAGATTATTTGGGATTAAAAAAAACAAAAATTTCTTTGTGTTTGCTTTTTTTTTTAGAATGGGATAAATTCAATTTAAACAATAATGGTTAAAGTAAAATTTAAATCAAATTATAAAAATTAAAAATATAATAAATCCATTTTTTTAAAGTGATTTGCATACATTAAGTGAGAATTATAATCAAATCATACTTACTATTTAATGATATCCAACTTCCTATTCTATTAAAATTAGGGGCGCTCGCGGTTCAATTTTCGACGGTTCGATTTGCGGTTTCGATCTGCTCGTATATATGCGGTTTGGAAAAAATTGAACCCGTAACCACCCACAGTGTGGGTTACGATTTGTGCGGATAGGGTTCGCGGATGTGCGGGTAATTACAGACGGTTTGCGAATTGAACTTTTTTTCTTTAGAAAGAATACTCAAAATATGTTTGTTGAACCAAGCATTCAATAAAACTTTCAGTGAAAATTTTCTTATTGTTAGGCAAACATCTTTCTTTCTAAACAGAATCGAGCATAGTCACTGGTCATTCAAAATGTGCATAATAGAAAATACAAATTAATTTCAAGAACTGAAAATGGAGAGAAAGCTAGTTCAAAATATATTTGGTTGTGTTTGGTTATGATCTCTAAATGTATTTCCATCCTTCTATTTGCGTTCCACGTTTGGATACAGGTTTCAAAATGTAATTCTACCACACAGTTCAAAATGCAACTCTACTTCCGTTTGGCAAATTTCGCCGTTTCGTTTTCTCCACTCTGAAAAGCTTCCAAGCGTACATATTCTCTCTCTTCGGTCTTCTTCATTTCTAAAAAGCTTCGCGTGCAAAGAAATTTAAAGCTAAAGATCACAACTGAAGATTCTTCACGAATTGCCTTCCTCTCTTTGAACTGAATTGTGACCTTCAAATCTAAACCATGCTTGTGAACCCCCTTTCCACCCATAAATTTGCATCCACCAACTCCCACAAATCAACTGAGTTTCACGTTGTGCGTTGTGGAAGATTCGCCCCCCGAGCAACGACAACAACGAAGTAAAGTAAATCACAAATTTTTCTCAAAATATATATGGGTTCTATGTATAACTCATTGATTTCCTACTTCATCCCCAAATTTATTAGTCTCGGGCCAAATTTGTGTAGCGTATTCTCGAATTAGACAGCTACGGAAGAAGCGCACATCCATCCACTCTACCCACTCCATCACCGATGACAACTATTCTACTCCTACTGCTCTAGTACGTATATCCTTCAATCGATCTGCTATGGAATAGCTGATAAATATAAATGGGTTCGATGATCTGTCCAAACAGTGCTGAGTCGGTCATCCACCAAGACAACTAGCCGATCGTCCTCCCTGTCTTCCGACCGGTCGACCAGCTAGTCAACCGCCATTCCACTACTCCTATCTCTAGGTCGACTACCACTCACCCCTTTGTTGTTTCTCTTCTTCAGCTCTCCTTCTACTTATTGTCTATTATGTACACTTCATATAAAACATTCTTTCACAATGGATTTGCAATTAATATTATGCTTTTTCTTGTTCATCTATTTTTCCCAACACTGTTTAACAACTTCAATTAATGAATCTTTTATTCTAATTGAAACATAATTGTAGGTGATTCTTGCATTGATTCTAGAAATTCAAGTTATATGATAAATTATGCTTAGGACTTATCTTGTTATTTTTCAATATCCACTTAAGCTTAGTTTAGATATAAATTGTGTCTTGTTAGATAAATAGCAACAATTCAGATGATAATCAGGACACAAGAATGTGGAACTCCAGAATTGAAATGAAGCTAATAAACATGTTGAGATAAGAGGTACAAAAAAACCAAACAAAAGATCGTAGTATTGTGTAGACAGTTAGACAATAGAACTATTTTGCAACTGAGTTGCAAAATCTGTATGGGTTCCAATACACAGCAAAACAGGTGAGACAAAAATATCAGTGATTGAAAGCTGATTACCAAACTTTCAAGCGACTTCAGGCACAGACCGGTCTAGGATGAGATATCATTGTAGGAATGGTCATTGCACCTAATGATTTTTGGGATAAGGTATTGAATTAACCTGTAGCTTTTTCAAATTTTTTTTGTAAAATTTTATCACACATACAATACGCTTATTTTCAAAATTTTCAATTGGAGGTAGGCAACAAAAAAATGTAAAGAAATTCAGGATGAAAGGATTTGAGTATTTTCATGAAATGACTGAAATTGTTGAAAACTGTTGTGCCACAGGGGCCTTGGCTCATGCATCCACACAAGGAGCCCCTGACTCCGACGAAGATGATGAAATGCTTAACAAATTTTGGTCGCCTAGAGCTAGTGGGAGTAATGCGGCTGAACCTATTGTTGTTGACTCATTCAGTGATAAGTACATGGAACCATCTAAGGGCAAAAGTCACAAAAGGGGTCTTAAAAATAGCCAGAGTAACAATGGTCATTCTAAACCTATTGTTGTTGACTCATTCGGTGATGAGTACATGGAACCATCTAAGGGCAAAAGTCACAAAAGTGATCTTAAAAATAGCCAGAGTAACAATGGTCATTCTAAAATGTCACGGTTAACTGGTTTTTATGATGTCTGCGCAGCTTTCACTACCTATGTACAGGCAAAAACAAAACAATTTCATGCACAATCAACAGACACGAAGGCTGTAAGTGCAGGTGGTGATGACTATTCCCTTGATGCATGTCAAGATGCCCTACTAGAGCTTGAGGACATACCACCGGGCCAGTACGTTAGGGCACTGACACTATTCAAAGACAAGGAATGACGGAGGTTTTTTATACATACTCCTGAGCATATGCGCCTAGCTATGATCCTAGCTTTGTGTCAAGGGAGAAGTTGTGGCTTGACAGAGTTTGTGGTTCTCTTTGTGGTTGTGCAACATGATTTGATGATTTCTGTTTTCTTTTTTTTCTTTTTTTAGCACCTAATGACATGCTGTTTTTTACCCGTCTTTGTATGTTTTTATTTTTATATTTTTGTGACACTGTTTTTATTTTATATTTAGATGTGATTTTATTCTTCTGCGTTCATTCATGTATGTTTTCTTATTTCTACTTCAACTTTCAATTTTACACGCAGCATACAATATGCATTAGTATATAAGACAAGATGAATAAATATTAATATGTTTTTTTTTCGCATGCATAATTTCATTTAGTTCGATAAATGACTAAGGCCGACAAATTGTAGACAGTGGTTAATTTCAGTTTCACCAATAATGGTAACAGTTATCATGTTGTTAATCATTTATTATAATTCTGCTTTTATTGTCATGTAGCCGAAACAATATGTCATCCAACACAAAAAAACAATGCAAGGTAGGCTTATCAAAGGAGGATGAGGTTATCGAAGATTTTATGGACTTTTTGATGATTGCTTTTATGAATGAACATATGAATGCGTCAACCAGCAAAGACCATAGCAAATTTGTCCATTCAAAGGTGATGATTACATCTTCAGTTTATTAAATAGCCATCCTGAAACAATGATGGACATCATGCGAATGGATGCCCAAACATTCATTTTATTGAAAGACACTTTACTTCAAAATAACTTTGTCGATACTGAACATATGCATATCAGTGTCGAGGAATCGCTTGGCATTTTTTTTGTACACATTTGCACAAAATGACCGGCATAGACTACTGGTCGATAGATTTCAACACTCCACTGAAACTATTTGTCGGCACATCAAAATCAGTATGCGGGTACTGTGCAAGCTTGCATCAACCAAGATGAGATACTGAAAAAAAATTTAAATGATAGGAGGCTTTTTCCCTGGTTCAAGGTATGACTATATGTTTGTCCTGTAAATTTGCAATAACAGTAACGAAGGAATTTTTTGTAATGTTTTCAAAGTAATATCTAGGTTTGTTTCGCGTTTAATGTCAAACTAATATATTTCAAGTAGGATTGTGTCAATACTATCGATGGCACATTGGTGGATGCATGGGTCCCTACCTCAAGACAGAATACATTCTGTGGTCACAAAGCCACGGTATCGCAAAATGTACTCGCAGCTTGCGACTTTGACATGTTGTTCACATTTATCAATTCTGGATGGGAAGGAAGTGCCCACGATAATGCATTCTGTGGTCGCAAAGCTACGGTATCGCAAAATGTACTCGCAACTTGCGACTTCGACATGTTGTTCACATTTATCAATTCTGGATGGGAAGGAAGTGCCCACAATAATGCAATTTTAGTTGATTCAATTACAAGAGCTGATCTACATTTTTCACACCCGCCCCATGGTGAGTGTCACTAAATAACACTATACTTTCTTAAATGTTGATATTTGTGTACATGTATTTGACAGAGCATTACAAACATTATTTATATGTAGGAAAGTATTATTTAGTGGATGTCGGGTTCACGAACATGCCTGGATTTCTTGTCCCATTTTACTCCCATCGCTATCACTTGTAAGAGTTTCATGACCGTCATTATTCTGAACCTAAGGAATTGTTTAACCATCAACATTCGTCGTTACGGAATGCCATAGAAAGAACATTTGGTGTTCTGAAGAAGCGTTTTCTAATATTGCGGTACATGCCAAATTACAAGTCCACACGACAAGGACTCCTCGTGATTGCATGTCGTGTAGTGCACAATTGGATCCGTTTACATATATCTATGGAACCATTCTTCGTGAAAACTGATAATGAAATGGCGGCAGAAGCGGCAGCAGACGGGTTTGTTGGAGGCCAAGCTGACTATGTTGACATGTCACAACATGGGTTAACGTACCAATCGAACTTGAGGGATGCAATTGCTACTGCTATGTGGGAAAATCATGTTGGCCATGGGTAGATTTGTGATGTGAATAAATAATGTGAATTTGGTAATATTGTATGTATTATTACATTCGTCTTTTTATTTATAATGTGTAAAATGCAATAGTAGTTTGAACCGTGTTCTTTAAAAGTGTTTTTTTTGTGTA